CCCGGCCAGCCCCCGGCCCAGCGGCGCCGGATTTTCCCGGACATGTTCGGCTTTTTGGGATTTCCCCCCGGACGGGGATTTGAGTCCCAAAAAGCCGGACATGTCCGGGAAAATCCGGACGTATGGTAACCCTATGTAAACCCTGTATATGATGGAAACCACTTCAAGCCAGGGTGCAGCAGCACCCCCGTACTCCTAGTTTCAGCACCTCTGCCTGCAACATGCTGAGAGCCCGTAGCTCAGCAAGTAAAGGAACAGGCTTAATTCACTGCCTTTTCTCATTAAAATTGGGTACATTTTGGTAGCTTTAATGAACTGTTGTTTACATCTAAACATCACTGCTCCTATGGAAAAATAATTATCCTGTCTTGGTGTTGCATGTAATATCTGTGTGAACATGTATAAACTGCATCCCATGTGTACAGCATACACAAATATGTATATACCCAGACAAAATCTACTGTACAAGACTTCGTATATTTAGATTTTAGGCAAAAAGCAGTTCTCAATCATTGTGTAATTTCTAAAATGCCCAAATCACAGCGGTCTTTCCAAACTCGTTTGTGAAACACAGCAGTTTACTCAAGTCCATATGAACAAGAATAATGTAGCATGTATATTTTGTAGGTTTCTCTTTACATTGTACACACTGGGTGCCAAGAGCCATAAAACCCAATTATCCAAATTGGTGGGTGGAGTGGAGAAGGGAAATAGAAAGGAAGTGTCTGTGGTATAAAAACGCCTAGAAATAATAATCCATGCAATGCCAAGAGGGATGAATGAGCGAGTGCTATTAAACCTTTTCTCTTCTTGTACAAAAATCCTAAATAGTAATGGAAACACCGTGATGGGGCCTTAAAAAATAAAAATAAAAAAACAATGGGCTCAATTCACAAAAGGACTTAGGTGCTTAACTGCCACTTTAGGTGCCTAAATCCCAGAATCAGGCAACAATAGGATTCACAAATCCCATCCCAGTCCCAGCTGCCACCAAATCCTGTAGGTGCCTAAACTCACTCAGCACCTAACTTTATCAGTAAATATTCCCTAGGCACCTATGGCTCTTCCTCTGAGCATGCACACTGCAGCCCCACACCAGGCGTCCGGATACTTAACCCCAGAGTGATGCATGAACCAAGGAAAGACAGGAGTTCCTCTGCCTAACTTTCCTGCAGGGCACAATCTGGTAAACATCTTCAGAGCTTGCCTACCGGATTGGGCCCCTACACATGAGCATACACAAAATGGCTGGAGGTGGGCAAAGAGGAGCCCCTCCCTCCAATGTTTTAGCCCAGTGGTTAGGGTGCTTATACCTGGGATGTGGGAGCCCCCAGTTCTAGCCCCACCTTCATTTATGGGTGGGGGGGAAAGAGTTTTGAACTGGGACCTACTATCTCTGAGTGCCCAAACCACTGGGCTCAACGTTATGTGGGTAGTCTTCCCCCTGACCCCCCAACATCTTGCTAAAGCAGTGTAGATAACCCCAAGAGAGGGTTTGCACCTGAGAATCGCAAGCCAAATGAGGTACCTCCCTGCAGTCCAGACTTCAACACCCATCTCACTGACAGGGATCAGGCTTAGCACCCTCTCCCCCCCTAATTTTGGCATCTCCCAATGGCTAGCCCGGGCGAGGAGCTGCCTAGCCTGCTGGCTTTTGTGAATCTGATTCTGAGGCACCCATCTCCCTCCATTCACTGTACAGGGAGCCTAGGCCCTGAACTCAGGCTTTGTGAACCCTAGGGAGTTTCTAGGAACCTAAAAGTTAGGCGTGATGATGCTGAGGATCTTTGTGAATCTAGCCCCATGTCTCCATAGTAACCTGCATTACAAAACACTATGCCCAACAGGGCAAATATTGCTCTCATTTTCACACACACATTGGCCTCCATGGAGTTGCACAGGTGAAAATGAAGGCTAGATGTGTCCCAGCAGATATAGGGAATGATTTTAACATAAGATCCCTGATTTCATGGGTGCAAATTTGTAGACATACATTTACAAAAGTCACATGTTAACACTGTGATTTTTGAACACAGTCAAGTAGACAGACACATAGGACCAAATTCTCTGCCCATGGAAATGGACAAAACTCTGCTGAAGTAACTACAGCTGTGTCCATTGACAGCAGCAGAGAATTTGCCACATAAATACCACCATTTATGTCCGCAAATAGTTGTGGGAACAAAAGTGTAATCACAATTTTGCACCTTAAAAATCGTAGGCTGGGTTGGGAACTTTTTAAAAAAAATCAGATCTGTAGAGTTTAGCTGGTGAAGCTTATTGATTGGATAAGCCATCACCCTTAGAAATAGGGAACAAGCTGTACATTAAAGATGTAAAAAATACAAAATCGGAAACATAATATGGTCCTGATCATATTTTGACTTGTTCAAACTTTGCAGTACATTTGTACAGCTGTTTAACCTTATGTTCACTGCTTTCTCATATGCAGTATTCTTTTAAATGCACATGGTTAAGTTGCTGCTATTAGCCAATTCCCGAAACATTTCCAAATTTGCTTACCAACACCTTTAAGGCCAGTGACCCTTAGCAAAGGGGCTTCCAGTTTAACCTCATTCCAATGCGAGTTTTGTTGTGTTTATAAGACTCTCCATCATGAATATATCAATCCATGTGATGCCCTCAAGCATTTGTAGCCTGCACACACAATTTCTAAATGTCAAATAAACTTGGCAGCTCTTTATAACATCTCTAGTGCAGATCAATCCTGTGTTTCATTTCAGAAAGCCAAATTCTTTGCAGCAGCTTGAGTGTTAGTTTTGACTTGCTTCTTAGCTGAGTGGTAATCTGTAGAATAGCAAACAAACAGAATTAGAAACTGCTGAAGTGGTGAATGATGTTTTAAAGAAATGTCAGGTAGGCTTCCCTAAGGCCCATGAGGGAACAAAACTAATACCTTTAGTATGTTCCATATAAAGCTGTGTAATACCAAACAAACAAAGGAAATGTGCTGGCTTTTATTCAGCATAGATCAAAGGACGTTGGACTCTCTTATATAAGCTGAGCAATGTGACATTTTACTCTCTGACTTTTAGATCCAGTACAGTAGTGTTTTCTGGTCAGAAATAGTTGTTTTTCAGTGCTCTTTTGCCACCTTAAAAAAGATCTGCAGTTTAGAATAACATCAGAAGAATTATAATTATGCTGAACTTTACTAATAACGTTCTACTTATTATCAAATAAGAACTCTAGGAAGACTGCATGTAACCTTGCAATAACACTGAATTATTATTCATTCTGTACTCAGAGAGTAAGGGCTGTAATTATGGGGAAAATATTCTGTATTTTTCATCCATAGCAAAGTGATTTAATTCCTGCTTCAAGTGCAAAACTCAACCTAACAACAGACCCATGACCTGCTTTCCATAATTTGTGGAAACACTAAGCACTGATTTTTTTTCTAACACAGAAACAAAGACATTTTTCAGGTAGTTAACAGGACAAATTTAGCTGAAATTAAATTGAAAGTTTACTCACATTTACAGGCAGGGATCCACATCCTCAGCTGGTGTAAACTGGCTCCATTGGCTTTAATAGAGCTATTCCAATTTAAACCAGCTGAGGATTTGGCCCTCATGATGTTTTAACTTCACTTTCTCACATATCCAAAATGGCAATGTACGTAGTAAATATTCATGGAGTCCTAGCAGCTTACGGTTGTATACAGAGAATACTACTGGCAGAGGATACTCCCTGGAATTCTATAGGTTTTCACAGCCAAGTTCTGCAAAGACAATCCTGCATCCAATTTCATTAAGTTCTGTTGGTTGATTTATGATGAGGCTAATATGTATAGTGATGACCCAAATTAATACCACATATTGTTGGGAGTCTGAGCAGCTAATTTATGAGGAAGAAAAGGCCTGCAAATGTCACAAGAAGTTCTTGGTGGGGAGGAAGGGGAGAGGAGTAACAATAATAAGTGGGATATCTGAGTTCTCACAAAGTATAATCCTCACAACTGTTAATTCTTCTAGTCATGAGACCTTATATATACACTGTCCTCCAGTTTGTACTGGGGAGGAGAGATATATTGTGGATTATACTTGGTGAGTCAAATTCATAAGTGACAAATTCATAAGTGTTATCCTCATTTTCAACAATGGTGAATTTTAGCAAGGGTAAAATTTTCAAAGGCATCTAAGTAATTTAGGAGCCCAAGTTCCAATTTCAAAAGGGACTTGTGCATGTAGGAGCCAAAATCTTGATGGAAGTCAGTGGGACTAAGGCTTCTTAGGACCAGATCCTCAAATGAATTTAAGTGCCCAACTCACATTGATTTCAATGGAAGTTAGGGACCTAATGCCTTTGAAGATCTGGGCTCTAAGTGCCTAAGGGTATGTCTATACTAGAAATGCTACAGCGGCACAGTTGCACTGCTGTAGTGAAGGGGTTCTTCCATTGCTGTAATAAATTCACCTCCTCGGGAAGCGGTAGCTAGGTCGATGGAAGAATTCTTCATTAACCTCGTGGTGACGACACCGGGGCTTAGGTCAGCTTAAATTCATCTTTGGGGGGGGGGTGAATTTTCACACCCCTGAGTGATGTAGCTAGCTCAACCTAACTTTGTAGTGTAGACTAGTCACTTTTGAAAATTTTACCCAGTATCTTGAAACCACTAGTCCAGTAGATGGACCTAACCTCACTCCCTGTGTAGACACAGCTGAGTCAGCAGAAAAGTTCTTCCATCAGCCTAGCTACTGCCACTCAAGGAAGGTGGCTTACTCCTTTCCATCACTGTAGAAAGCACCTACACTATGGCACTCCTGTGGCATAACTGCAGTGCTGCTGCAGGACCCGTAGTGTAGACATGACTAAAGTCAAGTCCACAGTGCTCTGAAAACAAAAGGATGAGAGCTGGCATGTGAAAGTGGGAGGCTGGTTCTGCATGGAAAATGTCTTTCCTTCCCTTGGCTCCTTCTCTAGCTCTGGCCACTGATGCATCTTGAAATCCGGCTTACAAAAAAGACAGCTCACTTCAGTTCCTGGAAAAGGCCAGAATAAAGCCTAGCTGTATTGTAAATCTGCAGCTGTGAAGCACTCTCATGGAATCAGAACAGAGGCTGGATCTGATGGTATGCATGTGTCAAATGAGCTGGGAATATGGCAAAACTGCATTTTTACCGGTTAATTAACTCTCCCTGCCCAAGGAGTCAGATACAGTGAGAAAGCTTCAGCTCCTCCCACTCTGGTGGCTCCAGTGTCCACAGAACCCATGTTGGTTTTGAAGACATTGATATTTATTTAACCAGACCACTGCTATCTTTTATAGTGTCAATTAAATGCACCATTGCAGGAACTTAATGCAAAGCATTACTGAGTTCTGCTTGATTAAATGAGATAGCAGATACCTGTGCTCAGAACCCGTCTAAAGTTTAGTCCACACTCTCTGGGATGACAGAGGTTGGGGAGTGTGGCACAGAGAGTGGGTTTGGCCCCTGGGGGTAGGCATCACTCTGGATAACTAATTCAACTGTCACATGGATTAGTCACATCTTGTTCCAGAGGGAGCAGAGTACAGATCTTCTGAGTTGATGGGAGATTTTGATGTACTGTTGAGGTGGTGATATGGAGGATAAATGGGTGCTTGTGAGAGAGAGAGAGAGAGAGAGAGAGAAATTGAACGAGCTCAAAGTTCCACCAAAATAGGCAGAATATACATGATTGACCTGATAGATCAGCTTCATTGCATCCAGAATTCTTGGGGGACCAATTTCTACCAACAAGTTTTCCCTTGTAAAAACAAATATGGGAAAGTGTTAAGCTGTGCAACTTAGTGTTTTGGTTTCCACATCCCCTGTTGAAATGTTTGTTTACCCGGGCAAACAGAATGGAAGAATAAATAAATTTGTTAGTCTCTAAGGTGCCACAAGTACTCCTGTTCTTTTTGAGAATGGAAGAAAATATCCCTTGGAAATATTTGCATAATTTGCTCTTACACTGCTAGACAGAGATTTACAACTGAATGGTGATACCCTCCAACTGTCACAACACTGAAGCCTGAATAACGCTCCTGTACTCCTACAGTTATATTATACTGTTAATTAGTTCATGCCTGCAAAGTGCTTTGGAGATGAAAAGTGCATTCATTAAGCATCTCTGTCCTGTGCTCTAGTGTAGGATTGTCCTCTCATCACTAAGCTGTAGTCCATTCTTGAACCTCTCTAATGATGGTGACTCATAGATTCCAAGGCCAGAAGGGACCACTGTAATCATCTAGTCTGACTATTGAACTTCCCCAAAATAATTCATAGAGCATATATTTTTAGAGAAAAATTCCAATCTTGATTTAAAAATTGCAAATGACGGAGAATCCACCACGGCCCTTGGTAAGTAGTTCCAATGGTTAATTAATCTCACTGTCAAAAAATTTACATCTTATTTCCAATCCGAATTTGTCTAGCTTCAACATCCAGCCTTTGGATCATGTTAGATTTGTCTGTGCTAGATTGAAGATCCCATTATCAGAATTTGTTCCCCAAGTAGGTACTTATAGACTGTAATCAAGTCACCCCTTAACCTTCTCTTTGTTAAGCTAAATAGGTTTTGTTCCTCGAGTTTATCACTACAAAGCATGTTTTCTAATACTTTAATCAACCTTGTGGCTGTTCTCTGAACCCTCTTCAATTTATCAACATCCTTTTTGAATTGTGGACACAACTGGACACAGTATTCCAGCAATGGTCACACCAGTGCCAAATAGAGAGGTAAAACAACCTCTCTATTGCTACTCGAGATTCCCCTGTTTATGGATCCAAGCATCACATTAGCCCTGGTGTCACGTTCAGCTAAATATTTACCATGACCCCCTAAATCTTTTTCAGAGTCGCTGTTTCCCAGGATACAGTTCCCCACCCTGTAAATATGGCCTGTATTCTTTGTTCCTAGACATATACATTTACATTTGGCTGTATTAAAACACATATTGTTTGCTTGCACCCAGCTTATGCCATAGCCTCTCCTGGCAAATTAGTCTATTGTCTGATCTGCATCACTATTCAAAAGAAGTTTCCTAATGTCTTAGTTTAATTATCCTTTTTGACAATTTCAGGCTGGTACTTCTCATTAGCCCCTGCCCCTCACCCCCCTACCCCTCTCTATATAGGCTAGAAAAAATCCTGTTGTTCAGGAGGCCAGGACAACCAAAATCCCTGTGTGGATAAATGAAATATAATCAGGATAAGATATTCAAACTTTCTCAGCACTCACAATTAGGGCAGATTTTTAAAAGATCTCAGCTGCCATTTATCTATAAAAATAAGGGGTGAGATTTTCAGCATGCTGCGTAGCATGCTGGGTGCTGAGCACTTTTTTTACAGCCTGGCGATAAGTGTCATCCTAGAAGTGGCTGGGTGCTGAGTACTTTTGAAAATTTTGCCCTGGTGTCGGTGCCAAAGGGTATGTCTACGCTGCGGCTGGGAGGTGCGATTCTCAGCGCAGGCAGAGAGATTTGCACTAGATCTGCTCAAACTAACATGCTGAAAATAGTAGTGTTGACGTTGTGGCATGGCTGGTGGCTTGGGTTAGCTGCCCAAGCTCAGACACAGAGAGCTGAGTGGTCTTGGACTTGGGTGGGTAACCCAAGCCACTGCCCATGCAAAAATGTCCACGTTGCTATTTAGCAGTCTAGCTTGAACCCAGTGTAGAAACATACTCTAAATGTGATCTGAGCTCCTTTGAAAATCTGTCTCTAGTTATGGGTGCTGAGCACTTCAAAAGCTGGCGCTTTCTCCCTTCCTGCCGAGTTTAAGACTGGTCTGTTCTTACAATTCCTGGATGCATTCACTCAGTATCCTATCCAAACTGAAGTTAGCATGAAAACTGGCAACCTTTTCTGGTTCCTGTTCCTCCTCCCCTGGCTCTGCTTGGCCCACTGTGTCTCAGACAGCACTTTGGGAAGAGCACACATGGCTAACTACGCAGATCTATGAAAAGAATTGGAGAAAGTCATACTGTCTTGCTGGACAATCCAACTTGAGATCCAGGCTGCCCTTGGACAAGTCATCTTAACTATTCTTCCTCGCCCCCTTCCCTTTAGTTGCCTAGGCTCTCACACCTACACTAAGGCCACATCTGCTGTGCCATTCTAGCACCATAGTGTAGGTGCTTCCTTCACAGATAGAAGAAGGGTTTTCCGTCAGTGTAGTTAATCCACCTTTCTGAGAAATGGTAGCTCGGTTGATGGAACAGTTGATCTGACCATGTCTACTCCGGGGCTTAGCTCGACCTAACTATGGTGTTCAGGATGCAAAAGTTTACACAGCCCTGAGCACTGTAGCTAGGTCAATCTAATTTTTTAATGTAGACCAGGCCTAAGTTTGACAAAGCAACTATACTCTTATTTGGCTTGGTTTTCAGACTTCTGAGCATTCACAAATCCCACGGATGCCCGTGGGAGCTGCAGGTGCACAGCCCTTTTGAAAATCAGCCTAATTGTCTCATATGTAAACTGCACGTGATAAGCTCCCTTAACCTGTGTGCATCAGGAATGTCACCTGATTTATTTGAAGTGTTTTTTGTCTAAGAAGAGGCTAGTTACAGGCCTATCAGGATTAAATTCCTGTGAAGCTCTCAGAGCTAGTTCTGACCCACTGAGCAGCATAGAGTACAAATCTCACACACCTGTCAAGGATGTCTGTCTTCGTTTCTTCCCTGCTTGGCTCTTCTTGCCCGACATTTTCTTGGCAACTTTGGGGTTCTCAGTCAGTGTCACTGTGGCAAAGTGGTGAGCCTTGACCTCCTTGACTATACCCTGGTTCAAGGGCTTCAAAGGCTTGCGAGCCTCACCCACCACACAACTGTGGTAAAAGGCCGGGACATCGTGGCTCTGTAGTTCTTCCCACTGCAGGAGCCCCTCAGCTGGCATGTCTCGTAAGAAGTCAAAGTTCCACTTCTGCTGGGCTCCCTCCACGCTGCTGCGCAGCATATGCTGGAAGTCCTGCTGCAGCTGCTCATGGTCCACAGGGCCGAAGAGGTTCCTTCGTACACGGTTTGCCTTCACTGGCCTCCACTCCATTTGCTCTCCAATCCGCCGCTCACCAACGAGCGTACAGAGCAACGATTCCCTGCCAGAGATAGAAAGATCATCAGACACATCAGGCATCACATGCTCTATGGGGGATGTAGCAAGTGTTAGAGTATTTCTGATCCTCTTCCAGGAAAAGTTGGGAAACTGTTTGGGAAAACTTCTGCCAATCTCCAATCTTCATGGAAAACTCTCATTGACTTCAGTGGACTATGTTGACTGGAGCCTCAGCCGATGTTTATTTGCTGTCGAGGGGGAGGAGGGCTTCTCCCTCTCTTTTTTTGTGGGGGGCTTCATGTAGAGCTAGTGAGGGGGTTGGCTTGTTCATCATGGAGACTGAGGCTTTGTCTTCACTGCTAAAAAAGCTGCATTTTTTACTTCAGGGTAACTAACAACTGTGAGCTATCCTGAGGTAAAGACAGTGAAAACCAGGCGCTTTAGTTTTAAACTTCCTGGGGCTGACCTCACCAGTTTACTTCATGGTAAAACTAAAATGTCTTGTCTTCACTGTGTTTCTACCTCAGTATAGTTCAAGTGTGTTACTTACTCTGAGGTAAAAGCACAGCTTTACTAGCAGTAAACACTCCGTTCCTGAGGAACAATGGAAAGTTGACCCCAAGCTTTTGGGGTCAGGGACTGTCTTTTTGTTCTGTGTTTGTACACCTAACACAATGGGGTTCTGGCCCATGACTGGGGCTGCTAGGTAATAGTAATAATAATACATAACAACAGAGTGGACAACAATACAGAGGGAGAACAGAATGCACACTGGAGAGGAGGGGATAAAAACATCCAATTATAAGTAGAGGGGATAAAAAAAAAGAAATCTTAGGATGGGGAGAAGTGACAAAGCCAGTTATTTTATTTTAACGGGGCTACTGTTCTGATTCACTCTCTGCGTTAGCCAAACTATTAGCTGAAAGAAACTCAGAAATATAACCCTTTTCCTGCAATTTTTTGTTCTCCCTTCTAGAATAAAGTGGGGAGAGGGGAAGGCTGTTTTCTATCTATAGATAAAAATAAAAGCAAAACACCGTCTTTGTCTCTCTAAGGACAAATCCTATCTCAGTGTTGGTGAGTGCAGAGGGCTCGCCACACAGCAGTCCCTACTGTGTGGGAGAGGAGGGATATGATTTGTGGAATCTGCTCAGGGGCATGCATCCCCTGCATGGAAAGGAATTTGGTTCTTCAAGGGCTGCCTATGTGATGTGTTGGGGGGTTGGGGACAGAGAAAAACTGAGGGGAGATGTTCGTGGGGGTTCATAGATTTTAAGGCCAGAAGGGAGCATTATGGTCATCTACTCTGATGACCTCTTGCATTACACAGGCCATAGAACCTCACCCAGTAATTCCTGTATCAAATCCATAACTTCGGTTGAGCCTAGAGCATACCTTTTAGAAAGATATCCAATTTCTTTCTCTACATGGATCATTGTTCTCCCATGGAGATGGAGGCAGAGGCAGCACAGAGGCTAATGCGGCCTTAGGGATGCATTAGCGGCTAGCCACAGAGTGGATCTAGCTGCTGCCGCTCTGAAATCTGGAGGATATACAGAGTAGGACACTGAGAGAGGGTAAGTGATTTGTCCAAAGCTGGGCACACAATCAGTGCAGAGCCAGAGGACAAAATAGTTCCAGACTCCCACCTTCTCAGTCCACTACTAGCCCATGGTGCCTCTGTGTGTGAAAATATCTAGTATATAAACAAAATATTGTCTCTAAAAATTATGGTTTTCATTTATTTTTTCTTTTGTGAGCTATCACTGAGCCCTCAGTGCCCGTAAAGGAGAAGCAGCTGCAAATACAGCAACATAAATAAACCTCTGGGTGGTGTCCGAAATCTCAAAAGGCAATTCCACTTTTCCTAGCAGTGCTGCTTTTCACTATAGCTAATAACCATCACACTGCTGCTCTGTCCCTTTTCCGTCTGGTGCCAAACTTCCAGCCGTTTAAACTAAGTTTACTCAAAGGTGATCCATCAACATTAGGAAAGGACAGGTAATGAGTGCACTGCAGGAAATAATCTTTTGCTTTAGAAACTTTTCTCATCTGAACTGTAAGTTGGCTTTGTGCTATACTTCGCAAAGACAAAATATGGCATTTCTCAAAAGCATTTTTGACCTTTGGTAATAGCATTTTTGAATCTGTTAAATAACATTAATTAGAGAAGAATCTGTCTCGCCCATGTCTATGATTAGAGGAACACAGGAGTAGCTATACCACATGGGAGTAGCGGTCTAGTCAGCCCAATATCCTATCTCTGAGGTGTAATTTCAGGTTGGGTAGGTGTACGTGTGCTAGCTTTGATGGAGCTAGCATGCTAAAAATAACAGTGTAGCCATGGTGGTATGGGCGACAAGAGGGTCTAGCTGCCTGAATGCATACTTAGGATCTCGGACAAGATTGTAATTGGAGCGGCCACAGTGTAGACATACCCTGGGAGTGCCATAGCACGAGCCTTGGGAGCCTGCGCCTGCAGACCCAGGCTCTGAGACTTGCTGCTGCGGGCTGTGTAGACTTACCCAGAGCAGCCGACACCAGCTGCTTCAGAAGAAGTGGGTAATCCTAGAATAACCTTTCCCTAGGGAAAGTTTCTTCCTACTGCCTTCATTCATACTTTGAATCATGAGGGGTCATACCATTGCCAAACTTGTGGCATATTTGATTGCTGTAGATGTTTTCATTGTTCATATAAATATCTAGAGTGGAATCCTGGCCCTACTGACGTCAATGGGAACTTTATCATTGATTTGAATAGAACTAGGATTTCACCCCTAACGTTTCTCTAGAAACCTGCTAAGCCTTGGACATCAGAGGTACGTTGTGGCAATGAGTTCCACATGTTAATTCTGCATGTAAAACCGTGTGTGTTACAAACCTGCAAAAACAAAATAATCTGAAATACTTTCTACATAGAACATATTTAGCACCTTGATCTTTGTGGTCAGTACGGTTCAGTCTCTCGTGACCACTGATTTTTGTGAGTTGTAGTTACAACCAGTGGGCCTGTCCTCTCATCACTGGAAATTTTTCAATCAAGTGTGGATGTTTGTCTAAAAGTTATGTTCAAGTTCAGACAGGAATTAATTCAAGGAAGTCCAATTGCCCGCATTATACTGAATGTGGGACTAGATGATCACAGTGGTCCCTTCTGGCCTTAAAAATCTATGAATCAACCCTCATTCATGCATTGTCTTTACTCACACAAGTAGCTCCACTGACGTCAGCCTGAATAAGTAAGTGTTGAAGAACAGGGCTCTGCATTAGTGGTGGCCATTTCTAATTTCCCTCTGGTTATATGTCAACCAGAATGGGTCAACATTTAATTCATATTTCCATAAACATTTTTCTTTTTGCCTCAAAATTTTGAGGGAACATTTTGTCAAAATTTTCAATTTCAAAATAGTTCAACCAGCTCTTATCAATGGTCAAAACACTGAAATAATTTTTTTGGGGAAAAATGTTTGGATGGAATATTAAATTCTCATCCTTACGGAGAACTGTTCCCTCAGTATAATAATGGTGTGTGTGTGTGTTTCATTTAAAATTCTAGTTGGAAACTCTGATTTTTTCAGATATGCACTATGCCTATTAGGTAGTGTGGTCTACTGCACAGAACACTGAATTGGACCTCAAGAGTCTTGGGTTCTATTCCTGACTTTGCTCTGTGTCTCAGTTTCCCCATCTGTAAAATGGGATAAATATACTAACCTCCTTTGAAAAGGGCTTTGAGAACTGATGATGAAAAGTGCTCTATAAGAGCTAAGTAAATTATTATTATTACTGTGGGTGGCTGCCTCTTTTTACCTTTTCCAGAGGAATACAAAGGCATAACCACCTTCACTAATTTCAAATTACTCTGACCTCTTCTCCTTTCTCCCTAGTTTTTGCCTAATGCCTGCCTCTTATCTGCTTCCTCAGCAAAGGCATGTGCACCACAGTCCGTCCTTGCATGGCTCACCCCTTGCACAGATTCAGGACAGCAGGGTGGGGGCTGGGTGTGAGTTATTTTCCATATCCTCAGACTCTAGGTAAGGGAACGGCTTGACTTCTCCAAGAACAGCTGAACGGATCTCCCGCAGCCGCCAGTGCTGGGGAACGAACGAGTCACGTATTCCAGTTGCAATCGCTCTGCTGTTCACACGGTTCCCATCAACAGGGGCATCAGGTTTCCCCAGCACCCCTTGAGCTGCGGCCCCCAGGGACCCTTTACTTCTGTGTCAAAGGAATGAGACACCGTCCCCGTTCCTTGCCTACACTTTCTCAGGGAGGAGCACTTGACACGACCCTGCATGGCTGCAGAATGTAGGGGAATGGGAAATCTAAGGGAAATCTTAGGCAGAATTTAGGGGAAATGTAACCTACATCCTCGCTACTAGTCAGCCCCCTTAGAAGGAAGAGAATCATAGGGATGGATCCGGATTTTTGTAGCGCCCTCTTCCAGCTCACCTGCCCAAGCAGGGGAAAGTCCATAGCTAGAGGGCACCAAATGTAATATCCTGTTGGACTTTTGGCTCCTTGCACACAGACAAGTACAAATACGCACCTGATTGCACACACATATATTCTATATTTGCTCTGGGAAGTCAAAAAGGCAATTAACTTTCCTGCCTTTGTTAAGCTAACAAGCCATATCTTTCTCTCCCACCTACAGACTTTACATGGGGCGATTAAGGAGAAGACAAATGATAAGGGCAAATATAAATGATAAGGAGTCTGGTCAGCAACTTTGCAAAGACTCCCTCCCCCCCTCACCTCCCCACGAGTTAGCACTGGAGAATAGGAGCGCGCTGGGTGTACCGGTATTTCGCCAGCGCCTTCGATACACTTGCGAAAAGTTAAACAACTGCGATTCGGAGTCAAAAATAAAACCAGTTCCCCGCCAAATGCTACCGGGTAAGATGCAATTGGATTGTAACTAGTTACTCTCGCTACCACTGCTACGATTACTGTCGGGGCTACAAGTCTACATTTTGCGCAGTAATTGTAAAAGAAAAACAACAACAAAGCAGCAAAACCAAAAAAACAACAACAACCAGCCCCCCCCAAAAACAAATAAAAACTTATTAAATTATACAACAATCGGAACAATAAACCCCAAGGTTGCTTCTCCCCCACTAAAAAGCAAACCAACCGTTTTTGCTTTGCTACGTGCTCGCTGGGACGGTCCCGAACACCGGAGTGACAGGCAGCCCTGACGCGGAATGTTCAAACACTCTGGGATCCGTGTCGAAACGCGCCACTTTTGCCCGGGAGGCTGCAGTGGGGGGGGATATTCCCAGGACATCAAGCCCAGAACATCACCGGGCGCGCCCGATTTGTAAACAAATCGCAAATGTACTTTGATTCTTTCCGTTAGACTTCAGTTACCCCCCGCAAACATAAACCAGACTGGACACATTAAGAGGTAACGAATAATTACACGGGAAAGACACTCCTAGTAGCAAAGGAGGGAGCGGGGAGGGAGGGACGGGACCTGTCAGCCTGGGTGGTGGCAGGAGGGAATAATAATCAATTAATTAGTGGGACAGATCCTGATCTCAGTTACTCCAGGGTCATTCCATGAGGGAATTCCACTCTAGTCCGTGGCGATCCTCTGGAGTGACACCTCACACGAGCGATCAGCATGTGGCCCCGTATTACGTATAGCTGCAAAGCAATCCATCCAATCTCGTCCTGGGCAGCGCTGTTACATACTTACTCATCCCACTCTCCTGCTCACACAGCGGGGTGGAAGGGTCAGCCCCGGGAGAGGACTGCCTGCTGCGTGACGACGGGTTAGTTTTGGTTTTTGATTCAGGTGTGTTTGTGTTTCCTTAAGGGACAAAAACGGAAAAGAGGGTCGGATTTTTCCCCTGGGAAGATTCAAATTTTCCACGTGAGGCCAGATTTGAGCGCCCATTTCCCTCCGCCTCCTCCTCCATCCAGGCCCTATGGTTGCCTTAGACTTCACTCCATCGACATCTCCAGTCCCAGACAGTGTAACAGACCGCCCATCCCTTCAGAGTCACAGCCACCAGCGCACACACGCACACCGGAAAGGCTTTAAACAGCGTAAGATGGAGGGGAGAGAAAACCAGGTCAATCATGAACAGAAACCAGATGCTCCAAGTGTCATTAAACAAGTAAAACTAGGGTCTGTATGTGCGTCTCCCAAGTTTAGTTAAGCAGGGTCCTTTCCCCAGTCCTGGGAATTGGAATTTGGACTCAGACTGAGACTGAAATAATCAGAGGATGCAGTCAGTGCAGTATGGGGAATTATTATTATTATTAGCAGAAATTATTAATCTACTCAACAAGTGAACCCTGGGGCTATAAGCACGGTAACAGCAGTCCTCTGGTTATTAGCTTCTATAAACCTTTTGCGTTAGTCAATTTCGAAGTGAAGATCACTTACATTTAGGGGCTCTCGCTGCTTGTCACTTTTGCCTCTTTCACAAGGGATTGCTTGCTTTTCCTGCACGGATCTGGGGCGCAGCTGCCCCGATGTGGAGAATGATGGCACTTGTCACTTCCAAACTTCACAGAAGAGTCTTGCTGACATCCAGATGTTTGGTTGCCCTCCCTCACCACCTATCAAAGGCTCCCCAGCAGCAGGGAATGACTGAGAGAGGATTTATCCTGCTGCTGTGTGCTGATGGCTGCAGAATGGACAGATTCCGTCGTGTACTGCTGCTCTCTTCTTCATAGTGTTTTCCCCCCTCCACCTCCCTCCGCCCTCCCTGCCTCATGTGCAGTTTGTAAAGCTGTTGCTCTTCGGCTGATTAACTTTCACATTCCGGGCTGCTTTCCAGTCGCTCGCTGCACTGGCACGTGTCTCTGCAACGTGACTGCTTCCCCCCAAGAGCTGGTAGTTGCCAAATAGGCCAAACCTAAGCCAAACACTTGCAGTCAGTGAGGACACTGCTGCGGAGGGAAAAGAGGAGGAGGAGGCTGAACATCAACCCAGGAGGTGGAGAAAAAATTAATCCCAGAGAGTGACTCAGGATGGGACAGTTTTTCGCTGGGATGTTTTTGATGCCAACTACCTTTTGCGAAAGGGAACACCATCAAGTGAAATCGAGTCAATTACAATTAAATAAATTGTTTCAGCCACCAATCCTGCCGCTCATCCTCTTTGCTTATGTGGAAGAAGGGGGGAGGCGGGGTATCACAATCACATTTTCCTAGTTTTTTAAAATGTTTTTTCCTCCCTGATTGCTTATGAAAGATTCATACAAACAACAGAGTCTGCAGAGGAGCAAGGGAAAGTGACTGTATTCAAAGAGCTTTCAAATTCACAAAGAAACACTGAAAAAAGATACATTCTTTTTTCTCTCTAAATTTTCAGGTATAATAATCTTAGGAATTATTTGTCACAACAGGAGGTAAAGAATTTCAGATAAAAATGTGATTTTTTTTAAGGTTGTCATTATCATTTTCAGAGGGATAATCCCAGTTTTTTTCCACTGAGATTTTACCATATTTTCATGTTTCCCAACTTTAAAAAAATCTTTCTACCCCAATTCATTTAAATACATATAGCTCTATTTAATAGTAACAACACCATTGGATTGTCCAAAGTGTGCAAGGTGCTTTACTGATAAATATGAAAATAACATCCATACCCCCAAAGAGCTATTTTGCTCTCTAAATGTCCATTTTGGCATCTGTGTTTATTGATGGCACTTTTGGTGCCTATGTTTTGGTGTCTATGTTTGTTGATGGCACTTGTCGAGGAGAGATTGGAAAACCTGCATTTATTTTAAAAAAAGGGAGAAAAATCTGAGTTTGGGAAAACTGATAATTAAAATAATGAATAAATCTTTGATAATCACAATGAAATGTAGCTATATATTTATATATAATCATAATCAGCAATATAGTACCCTGTGTTTTAATAACAGCACTTAGATAGAACTATTTCTCTTCAAAGTGCTTTACAAATATTAACCTCCCAATGTCCCTGAGAAGTAGGTAGGTAGGTAAATATTATCCTCATTTTACAGATCAGGCTATTTATCGGGGTCAAAGTGTTAAGTGGCTTGCCTCACATCAACAAGGAACTTGGTGTTCACCGAAGAATTACAGCTCTGGAGTTCCTGGCACTCACTCGTCAGACAAAAATCTGCTACTTTTTGTTTTCTACATCTCATGAATCTTTAGCTTGGTGTTCAAGAGCTGGGAAAGTGGGAAGAATCTCAGAGCACCAGAAGCTTCCTTTTGTTTATTCTCAGGCAAGGCAGGCTAAAGGGACATAGGTGGTCCCTTGCAAGTATGCTCCTTATTAGTGGATAAAAGAGGTTTTGAATGGAGAGAGAGAGAATGAAATGATATGGGACACAAAGGCCACTCCAGTAAACTCACTGCCGTAGATTTGGTGTAATCATAATTGGCCTTGTTCTTGCCAAAGCTCTAAAAGTTTCTGCCATACTTTTATTTTCTACCCCCTAAGGATTCACACACCGGAATGCATATCAAAACAATAGTTTAAATGTCCCATTTCAAACCCATCTTTAAACTCTTCTGGGGAAAGCCTGATACAATATTTTGCATTGAAAAGTAAACCTGGAGTGACTCAGGGTTGGATTGTTCCCTCTTGCAGTAAAACCCACGGGAAGGAATGGAGGCAGAGGAAATGTCAGTGATATTCTCCCACATTGTTCTTTATTGTAGAACAGGCTGCTGGATTGTCCCACCATCTTCACAGAAGCCAGGCTGGAGCATTTTTCTGGGAATCTTCAAAGGGTTGCAGGTGGTATGACGTGTGTCTCCTGCCCACCTCAGGCTCTGATTCTTATTTCCGCCTGGATCCTAGCTCTGTGGAGCATCCCATGAAGTCCTAGGAAGGGATAGAGATGATGACATGGAGGAAGGTGGTTGACTGCAAAGGAGGGTTCAGACTAGATCTGGAACCCAACCACACACAGATCTTGGGTGTATGATCTGGCTCTCAGTTTTTACCCAATTTCACTTTCAGGTTCTCATGTACCACCACAATGTTGCAATGTCTGAGGTGCAAACACTGCGAAGGAGTGGATGCTTTATGTTGTAATTGCAATTGAGAAAATCATGGAAACATGATTTTAGGTTTTGAGAAAGTTTGTGGAATTTTTTTTCCTTCTTGTATATTTTTTTGAAAAGAAAAACCTAAAAGTTGGACTAAATTTGACCTGAGATTGTCCTCTTGACAAATCACAAACTATAAAGTCATATATTTAATTAGCAGAGTTTGTTTGTATTGCCATCTAGGTACAGTAATTATCCATTGAAATAACAATGTCCTTTATATAAGATCTTTGTTTGCTTTGCAAGAATTTGAACTGTTCGGAAACTTGGAATGCCTATTCTAACTTATTGGATTTTTATGGAAGCTCAAATTAGCAATTTAGTTTCCCACATAATTGCATGTCATCATGTGCCTTGTCTTAGACACACAGTAAGTGCCAAACATTATGAGTCATGTTGTATCTATTTCAAATCATCATCTTATGCTTAACAAAATTACAAAGGTAATTCACATTTAAATATCAAGGAATTCTCAAAGTTCCGCTTTGGTTTCACAACTTTCTTATTCCCCAGTGATGCATTGTCTAGGTTAAGTTTGCCATTTTTCTGAATTTTTTGGGACTGTCATAATTTTGAGGGGTCTATCCCTCACCCTGCAATACTAAGGCCCTATCTACATACAGATTTTGTACTGTATAACTATGTTGGTTAGGGGTGTGATTTTTTTTAAACCTATAACATATTGAAGAAAGGGTAAATTGATAGTAATGAATATAAATCAGAAGTTAGGAACTATAGAAAATGGATAAAGGAAGCAAAGGGACTCAAGGAGAAATCTATGGCCAGCAGAGTTAAGGACAATAAGAAGACATTCTTTAAGTACATTAGAAACAAAAAGAATCCTGGCAATTGTATTGGTCCATTACTGGACGGAAATGGTAGATTTATCTATAGAAAGGCAGAAGTGTTCTATACTTGGGGGAAAAACAGATGATGTAGTCATATCATGTGGTAACACTCTTTCCTTTCTACTAATATCTCTGGAGGATGTTAAACAGCAGCTACTAAAATTAGATCTTTTAAAATCAGCAGGTCCAAGTATCATACACACAGGAATTTAAAAGAGCTGGCTGAGCAGGGCCGGCTCCAGGCACCAGGCAACCAAGCTGGTGCTTGGGGCGGCACCTGGAGGGGGGCGGCGCGGCGCTCCGGCCGCCGGGGAGAGCGGGGCCACAGCCGGGCTCGCCGCCCTCCCCCCGGGGCTCCGGCTGCCCCCCCCCGGGGGGAGGGGGGGGCGGCGGCCGGAGGCTTTTTTGCCTGGGGCGGCAAAAAAGCCAGAGCCGGCCCTGTGGCTGAGGCACTTGCTGGATTGTCAGTGTTGATTTCCAATAAGTCTTGGAGCACTGGGAAGTTCCAGAAACCTGGAAGAAAGGTAATGTTGTCTCAATATTTAAAAAGGGTAAATAAGATGACCTGGGAAATTATAGGCATGTCAGTCTGCCATCAGTCTCAGGCAAGATAATGGAGCAGCTGATATGGGACTTGATTAATAAAGAATTAAAAGAGGGTAACATAATTAATACCAATCAACATGAGTTTATGGAAAATAGATTCTGTCACACTAACTGGATATCTTTTTTTTATGAGGTTACAAGTTTGGCCGATAAAGGTAATAGTGTTGATGTAATAATACTTAGACTTCTGTAAGGCCTTTGACTTGGTACCACATGATATTTTGAGTAAAAAAACTAAAAAGATATAAAATGAACATGCCACATATTAAATGGATTAAAAGTTGTCTACATGATAGGTCTCAACATGTAATTGTAAAGGGGGAATCATCATGGAATGGGTGTGTTTCTACTGGGGTCCTGGAGGCATCAGTCCTTGGCCTTATGCAAAACAATATCAGTCACATGGTGCTATATTCTTTGGTCATTCAGACCAGCACTTAAAGGTGGCCTATTCATTTCAGGACATGTTAGAGTTCTAGCATAGAAAAAAATCTGGTATGGATGTCTGCAGCCTCAAGTCTAGTAGAACATTACCAGAATATTTTTCTCACCTGTGTTATACAGAGTAAGTTTTAATCTCGGCTTCATATTTTGCCATGCACCTAAACAAAACTGCAGTTATTGTTCTGGACTCTTCTCTGTTTTGTATTTCCAGAGCCGCCCGGGGGGTGGGGTGGGGTGGGGTGGGGGGGCATGTGGGGCAATTTGCCCCAGGCCCCGGGCCCCACAGGGGCCCCCACGAGAATATAGTGTTCTATAGTATTGCAACTTTTTTTTATGGAAGGGGCCCCCAAAATTGCTTTGCCCCAAGCCCCCTGAATCCTCTGGGCAGCCCTGTGTATTTCACAGGCAAGCTTGGAAAGGAATAGCTTGTGCTGTTGTAAAATTTTGTTTTTCACAGAAGTGGATCCTTAGGGTGGCTTCACTAGTTCTTCTTTCTGAGAAGCAAGACTTCTTCTAGGGGAGAACAACTCAGTGCTCAACCTGATCCCTGTTGATCACAGCAGTAATTGGGGGTGAGACCTCCTAGGTGCCAGGTCAAAGGATCAGAATCTTTTCCTTTTGCCTACAACCATGCAGAATGGTGGCATGTTGCCAGTGTGGCCAGAATGCAGTGTACTATGGGTATTCTCTGCTTCCCAGGGCCCA